TGCAAACTCGAGATACCTGGAAAGTTGACTCGGTGATCAATATCTCACTTTAGCGGGTGAGTGAGATTTGTGTAAGGAATAAATCACCACCGGTTAGGAATCGATTCGAATCGCCATCGCTCCCGGATAGTGAGCACTTGACTTGAGTTACTTCATCGTAGTAAATGTTTATGGAACACTTGGACAGCTTATAGTGAATATGACAAGATGGAAGTTGTTTAATGATCGCTGGTTATCATTAATTGCTTAATCACATGTTTACTCTAGTATAGGTGCAAATCTAGTCGACGTGTTAATAATAATTAACTTGACAATAATGCTTTTAGAAAGGTTCTTGAAATGCTAAAAATGCTTCTTTTGCAAATGAGTCACCTACCCTACTATAATGCCTCGCATAATCCTTGGTGTCATTTATTTTCGGTTATGTCGGGTAAGTCCGGCCGAGTACATTCTCGTACTCGTGGTTTTATTCCCACTTGTTGCGAGATGGGCGGATGTACTATGGCTATTGTATCAACTGCCTGTATCCTGCGATGGGTGATGCTTAGGACCATGGGCATGGTCATTCCTTACGTCTCGTCTAATGCTTTTGTTGGAGATGATCATCAGCTGGCACTATATTTGAACTACGTGTGAGTGTGTGTGGTTTTAAACAAATGACTTCCGCTACTTTTATTCGAACTTGTTTTGTAATAACTATGTTTAAACTCTGATGTATCTGTTATGGGAACTTTTATGTAATATGTGATTGGTGACCGCTAAACTTATTACGATCATGGCTGGGACACTAGTTGGTTTGAAATCCTTCGTGATTTCACGGACTACCGGGTTATACGGGCTTAAGTTTGCTCAATCGTCTGCTCTGGTGGATGATTTTCTTACTTAATTTCGTATAATTGGTCGGTTCTGTTACATCCGGTCGGCTCCGGTCGGAAGGGCCGAGAGCGACAGGAGCTCCGCTATGAGCTAAATGTTTAAACGTGTGCTTGAGGTCTGAACCTGATGGTTCCGTGGTTGTCAGCTAGTGAACTTGATCGATCTAAATTGACTTAGACGAACTTGAATCAACCTTCTCTCTTGGGAGAGAGCGCATCCCTTTTATAGATGAAGGGGACGGTCTTACAAGTGAGAGGGAGAGAGTACGTATGTCTCTAAGTCTTGTTATCCACGCCGGCAGGTACAGGAGGATGGTAGGCGCTCACAACACTGTTGGATGTTGATTGTATGTGGGAGGTTACGTCGTCTTGTTTCGGGTATGGCAGATGTCGGTACACCTGCATATACTGTTGATGCCCAGAGGCATATGAAGAGTTTCACCATGTTCACTCGGTACGGTAAATCCCGGCGCCCACAACACTGTCGATGCCCAGAGACATTTGGGGGGCCTTACCGTATAGGAGTTAACGGCGCCCACAATACTATAGAGGGAAATATTGGTGCCTACAATACTGTTTGTGTCAGGGCGGTTGCAGAGTACTGTTCCTGCAGGTGTATAGGGTACGGTCCCTGGTATCATGGTTTGACTTGAGCGTCTTGCCTTGCTTTCTCCGTTCGTTCCCTGGTCCTTTCCGGGCAGGCGTCCCCGATCGGTTGGTCCTAGTCGGCTCTGGTTGCGCCAGTCGAAAAAGAGCAGTGAGTAAGGTCTTTGCATACCCCGTTGGAGACGTGGGGTCGAAATCGAGGTAGTGTTTTGCCAAGCCTTCCGGTCGGAGAGACCGTCCGGAGACGGCTGGAGACCGAAGTGAGCGCTCGGGTCGGAGAGCTGGGCCGGAGTCGACAAGCGGGCGCTGTTTCTCCTCGCCCAGACCTTCTGGTCGGTGACTGGACCGCCCTTCTGCCCTGTTGTTTAGACTCTTGGGCCGGGCCATGAGTTACGTGCTGTCTGCTTGGGCGAGCCTTTACGAGAAAGCCGGTCCGCGAGATCCCGGATTTATGAACCCAACACTACTTTTATGCTTAATACTGTACTTTTGAAGAACGGGTCTGACACTCTGACTTGTGTTAGTCAAAGTAGTCTCTTACAGGGCTAAAATGGTCAATCGGAGCGTAAGATATCTATAGCGAGCTTGTCTTGCTTTCTTTTCTAAGCACATCACATACGCTGATCCTTTTTCAGACTGATTGCTTCCATCACGCAGCATGTGGGTACTGGTGGTATTTATGCGTGTCCTTGTGCAACAGTAGGGGGGTTGTTCGTGTTAGGAGCGAAGTATTCCCTTCATTCTAAATTATAGTTCATTTGATTTTTTTAACTAAAATTTAACCACTTGTCTTATTTAAAAAATTTATATCAACATAGTTAAATTTAAAGTCATTCTTGAAGAACTTTTGTTAATAAAGCAAGCCGCAACCAAAGAAGTTATATTTTACATAAATTTTTGAATAAAACGAGTGGTCAAACTTAAGGTCAAAAAGTCAAATAAACTGTAATTTAGAACGGATTTAGTATAAAACTACCATGGTACGGGATTGGGATAATATAAGGTACATAAAAAAAACAGAGCTGTCAATATGGACTTTACAAAAACAGGAAAAAAAAAAGCCAAATTGAAGGGGAAAATAATTTTCAGTTTTGAATCTAGAGCATGACAGGGAAAAATTGTTTTCTTTTATTTATTTATTAGGAAGTGAAAATGCATATTGAGAAGCAACAATTCGGGGAAGAATAGAAGAAAATATCACGAGGACCAGAGTTGACCTGCAAACACCGGCCTAATTTATGGTTGTAACTGGGCCAGTCGGGCGATTTGCAAAAATAGGACTCGAAACATCGGTCGTTTACAGATTTGACACTGAACCCACATTCATAGACACAGATGGAGACACTTGTCATCCACCCGAATGTCATCATAATCGAGAGTCAATCTTTCGAGTGTCATTTTTGCAATTTTTTCGGGCCAGTCAATCTGATCAGGGAGCCAGTAGCCGGCCCATAATAATATGCACGCATCGGCCTTTAAATGAAATGTCAAGCCCACAGCCCATAGGAGAGCAACGGATTGTGTGTGAAAGGCGAAACCGCTAGAGCCTTTTACCTGTGTACCATTATAAAAGATGGTCGTGACCTACGTACCACTAAAAAATTCAAACGCACCTATGTGCCATGACATTTTACTTTTTTGCCTCCCAAACCATTCTCGTCCACTTTTTCCATCTAACGGTGTCAATCTGCGTTGGAAAAAGTGCCAAATACCCTCATGTTGCTTCTTGACCGTGTCCTTCTTCGTTTCCAACACCGGTCGTTTTCGTCCCGTCCTCTACCGTGTGCCGAAGCCAGGGAACCCCGCGTGCGCCAGGGCGGGGGCGCGAGCTAGACGCGCGGGCGCCGGGGCCGGAGGCGGAGCCGGCCGCGTGGGCGCCGGGGCCGGGGGCGCCTCCGGCCTCGCGGACTACAGGGTCGAGCGGAGCCTAGCCGCTCGCTGCCTCGAGCCTCCATCGCCGGAGCGCCCACCGACGGCACCCAGCAATTCCACCGCCCCGGCCACCACGACCGACGCACGCGATGGTCGCACGGCCGCGTGCGCCCCTACGCGGGCCGCGTCGCCGACCGCGAGCTCCCTGCCCACCTGAACTCGCCGGACCCATCCCAGGCCTGCGCGCGCCAAGGCCGCCTCAAGCCGAGGACGCGCCGCCCCAACCAGCGCGCCTCCCGGGGCACGGACAGCCCGAAGACGAAGACGACGGCACCGGGGTAGGCCAGCAGCGTGGTCGGACCCCACGCGACCTCGATGCTTGGGGGGAGCTCGGCCCCTGGTCACCAGAGCCGCGCTGCGTGGGCTGCAACCTGTATGCGTGGCCTTGACCGCACGCCGTCTTCTCAGGGCCCGGCGGCGCGTTGGGGCCGGGGCTCGAGGCAGGTGGCGGACGCTGGCCGAGCGGACGCCAGCGCATCGCGGATGTGAGAGGGAGAGGGGAGCCAGGTTCACAAGAGTCGAGAGGGGCTCGCCAGAGTCGAGATGGGGGTCGCTGGAGTCGGGAGGCCGGCGCATCTTTGTGAGGGCCGCACGGTCGGAAGAAGATGCCGATGGGGAAAAATATAGAGAGCAGTTTACGTCTTGACAAAAGGGCATTTTGGATGTTTTCACTGACTGGGCCACGTGTCAGGGCTAGCAAACGGCCAAAATCAAATAGAAGGTGAACGGAATGGCTCGGGAGGAAAAAAAAAAAGTAAAGTGTCATGACACATATATGTGTTCAAATTTTTAGTGACACGTAGACAACGACCGTCTTTTATAATGACACACAGTTAAAAGGCTCTTGAGGGTCTTTAGGGGCCGTGAGCGTGCACGTAGAGCTAATTAACGAGGCCCGGTTATTGGTGGCCTGCCCAGTGCGAAGCGCCGCCCAGCTCGATTCGACGAGTTTTGCCCTGGATCGGCCACTAGTACACGGCCTGGCAGGTCGTGGGCAGAGCAAGTCTCGGGTACGGGCGACGGCGGCATCGGAGGAGAATTGTGATTGGAACGAGTGCATGTGGAGGCGAGCCTTGTGCTGATCTGAAGCCCGTCGGGAGATCGTTTACTGCTGCCGTGCGATGGATTCTAGCCCACGTGGCGTCCATCCAGGGAGGAGCACGAGCGCGTGGGTGCGCGCACCTAATTTTCTTATACGTTCCACCGCTGCCGCGTCAGAACATGCCGGCTCGGTACTTGCGTTGTCGATTGTCTCCGTAGTCCGTACCTTCCCTTCGCTATCGTATCATATATTTCTGGATTTCTTCTGTTCTCCGCCGGCCGGCTCTCGTCCGTCCTTGGACTTGGACGCACGTCCTCCAGTAGTTCGTGTCTCCATGTGCGCTTAGCGCAACAACTGAAAACAAGCGCCGGTTTTTTTTTAAAAAAAAAACTCGCTCGCCTATCATTTGCGTCAGGGCTTATGTTTGCTTCTCCATTCTCGAGCGTTGACACTTGCAAGTTATACTAGTAGCAGGAGGACCCGTTCCCGCCCCCCGCGTATGGCACGGTCTCACGCCCAAGGATCCCAAGCTCTCGGCGTCCGCCATGGGTCATTCCTCTTGGCTCACGACATGCTCCCCGTGGTCCGCGTTCGCGACGCTGGCCGCCGTCATGACCAGCGTTCTGATGCTCAGCTACGTGTCGAGCTCCTTCCTCGGCCACCAACAAGCGGCGTACGAGTACGACGGCCCCCACAGCCCGGACGCCGGGCCGTCCGCGGCGGCGACGGCGACGGTGCCCACGCCTAGGCGGGGCCCGGGTACCCGCCGGTGCTCGCGTACTACATCACGGGCGGGCACGGGGACTGCCTCCGGGTGACGCGGCTGCTCAAGGCCGTGTACCACCCCAGGAACCGGTACCTGCTGCACCTGGACGCCGGCGCCGGCGCCTACGAGCGCGCGAGGCTGGCCAGCTACGTCCGGTCGGAGCAGGTGTTCCTCGAGTACGGCAACGTGCACGTCGTCGGCAAGGGGGACGCCCTCGACGGCCGCGGGCCGTCCGCCGTCGCCGCGGTGCTACACGGCGCGGCCGTGCTGCTGAGGATCGGCGCGGAGTGGGACTGGCTCGTCACGCTGGACGCCACGGACTACCCGCTCGTGACGCAGGACTGTGAGCTTCAGGCTGCCGCATTGTGTGTGCCAATCTCGGTTTTGTTTTTTCCGTCGTGTCGTGCCGCTGACAGCTGGCCAATGCAGACCTGCTCTACGCCTTCTCCGCCGTGCCGAGGGACCTCAACTTCATCGATCACAGGACCGATTCTGAAAACCATCACGTGGTTGTTCTCGACCAAAATCTTCTGCAGAGCACGAACGCTGAGATCTCCTTCTCGTCGGGGCACCAGGAGGAGCCCGACGCGTTCGAGCTCTTCAGAGGTAGCTGAGCTCGCTCTGTGTGCCTTTCTCACGCTTGATCATTGTCAGACACTCGTACCTCCGCGGCAACTGACGGTGCATTTGATCGCATCAGGTTCTCCCTGGCCGATACTGAGCCGGGCGTTCACGGAGCACTGTGTGGCCGCGCCGGACAACCTGCCCCGGACGCTGCTCATGTACTTCAGCAACACGCTCGAGGCCAAGGAGTTCTACTTCCAGACGGTCATGCCCAACTCGCCACGCTTCAGGAACAGCACTGTCAACCACAGCTTCCGGGTCGACGTGCCGCCTCCGCAGGACGCGGACCAGAAGGCGCGGTACGACGCCCTGGTGAGCAGCGGTGCGGCCTTCGCCGGGCGGTTCGGCTACGACGAGGCGCTGCTGCAGAGGATAGACGAGGAGGTGCTGCGGCGCCCGCTGGACGGCATCACGCCGGGCGAGTGGTGCGCCGCAGTGGGTAGCGGCGAGGACGGCGCGGGCGAGTGCTCGGTCGGGGGCAACATCGATGCTGTCAGGTAGGGCGCGGCGGGGAGGAAGCTGGCAAGCTTGATGGCCGGCCTCGTGGGGACCGGACCGTGCGACGGATGCAACAGCTAGGATAGGCGCGCCGGCAGCCGATGGAGGAGAAATCTCATACATTTGGTTGGTTGTGCAAGCCGGCTGGCAGCTTTAGATCAATTCCGGTAATTCTTTGTTTTTCACAACAATTCCATTATTCTTTTTGTGCCGAACGATTCAACGTTTCTGTTGAGTTGCTGTAAATTGTAATATACCTGTGCTCCAAACACAAGAATACATCTTGCGCCGCGATCATCAGCAACATACTAACAACTTTCAGCGGTGTAGCCTAGACTCGGCGTATGCCCTCTTTTGATTATCCTGCCTTTCAGGTTCTGGGTTAATATATAACAATTGACAAGTAGTTTTAGGGCCTCCTACCAAACATATATTTTTAATACAGCTTCTCCCTAGAAGCTATTTTTCAGCTCTATCAAATGCACAGGAACCCTGGTGAAGCTACTAATTTATCCCAGTTTTTCCCTATACTATCTTTCCTAAAAACTAAAAAGCTGTTTTACCAAATGTTATGACTCGACGAGGCAAGGTCCCTTCGTTCACAAATCAAATCATCAAATGGCCCTTGGCCTCTTGGCATTGTCAGCACAATCAGTTTACAAATCGAATCATCAAATGGCCCTTGGCCTCTTGGCATTGTCAGCACAATCAGGCTGCAAACGCTCTACATGTTCTTGAGTCCATTCATTAGCGAATAATAGCTCGTGATACATTATTATTTTCATAACGTAGTGCATAAAGTTGGCCTCTGGATACCATTTTTTTCCATGACGAGGTGTAACACACTTGCGAACAGAGAGTTTTGAATGCATGGGCTTCAACAAACATAACATCAGAATCTGATCGACTGAATGGCTGGGTAAATAATCGTGAGAAATAGCCATTTCGTTGTTATACATGGGAGATTAATTTAGTGATAGATGAAAAAATAACCTCAGAAATAGCCAATGAATGAAAACTCAAAACTGACTGATTTCCTCAAGACAACCTCTTGCCTGACGGTGCCCTAAATGGCACTACCACCGATTATAAAAGGAAGGATTATGCCTTGACTACAAGGAATCCCCAGGGATCCACGAAGGGTATATCCTTCAAAATTGAATCATAACAGCTTCATCTTCCTTGTCCATATGTACTTTCAAGCACTGGAACAGCAGGTCCATATATTCTAGAACAACGGTCATTAAGTGAGCTCACTAGTCGTGAAACAACTTCCTTGAAGAACATTGATGCAACCTGAGATGAGAAAGATTCGTACTGTAAGAGACATAACGGGCATATTATAAGTTAATAGATGTGCAGTATCACTAAAAGCATGATTTACCTGACGATACAGTGGTGATTGAAACTTAAAATCGACTAAGAAGTAGAGGTCACATGTCCCTGGAACAGGACCAGGCTTAAATTCCCAAACGTTTATCAAATGATCAAAAAGTCCACTTTCAGATGCTGTCGTCTGCATGTAGTCATTACCAGTAAGAAACATAAAACAACATAATGCAATTTTCTCAAGCGTAAACAAAATGACAAATGCAGGATAGAGAAAAAACTGCCACGTCAGTTTCTTTCAAGAAAAAGTGCCACTCTAATATTAACACAGAACCATAATTTGTAAAATAATTGTACTCAGAAGACACTACAAGTACAAGAAATTCATAATCGTAGAGGCCTAGAACAACATTTTCTGTGGCACAATCAGCGCACACAGCAAATTATCATCCAGAAACTGACACTACAGAAGATCTTAATTGAACAAAAAAAGTTTCAACCTAAATTGAAGTTTATTAACAAATACCACAGTTAGTCGCAAAAAAAAAAAAACCACAGTTCATCAAATCAAAGCTATTCAAAAGAAAGCACCCCTCTAGGCAGATGATTGGTAGTCTGATATATATATGAAGATACTTTCTGTTCAAATAGTATGGTACATGCAGCCTCTAAATAAGGCAGAAAGTTCTGATGTCTCCCTTATTGTGCTAACATGAATACTAAATCTAGATTATAGGCTCATATTAGTCGATGCAAATTTTTAATCGAGTGTGACTAACAAATGACTAATTTGAGATACCTAACAATTAACAGCTATCGCATAACACAAAATTGGCGCTTATTGCTAGTTCAGCTAAGGTAATATTCTTGAGATGTGACCATCACTTGGCTAAACAAGAGCACAGATCTTTCTCAGTGCCAACAGATAATGAATTATCAATTAACGACATCGCCAAAAGCAAAATTATTGACATTTTTAACAGGAAACTTTAACTTCCACAAAGGATAGTATTCAGGAGCACAAAATGTCCAAATGTATCTAAGAGTTATTTGAATTTAAGAACATTATCAATACAAAACATATTTATAATTTGCACAACTTGCACGTGGGCATGTCTTTTACAGAAACATATAAGGCTCCATAAGAAATTATGCCAAACAAACAAGAAACCAGTCTAGAAGTGCACCGACCAGTTAGCAAGGAAGTAGTCAATTTATAGAAACGTGAGAGCTCATGATAGTAACTTTATTCGAATAGTATATCCATTTGCCACTCAACATTACAAACAAACAATTAAATAGTACTAGAGGTTTTGCATATAGATAAATTATGCAGTGGCTTCCCTATAAGCATGGTAAGAAACATAGGGCAAAATAGGTAACAGGTCAAGTGTCCGGTGTGATTTGTTAAAGAAAAGGTCCTATGTGTGATGAGCCTTGAAAGTAGGCCATTTCCTTATACCAGATGTTATTGTCTTCATTCAATATGAATATGTCATAACCTACATGTTCATTTCACAATCCTCAGTTCCTCACCTTGATATACCTGGGCTTCTCCATCTCCACATGGGAGACATAGCTCTCAACAAGGAACTTGAATCCAATCTCGAGCTCAGCATCAAATGAACCGTCGTCATGCCGCCTAATAATTCTGGAACGCTGGCACCAGGGCACAAAGTCCTCGTAGAGGTCCACTGCCGCGACAACGGCAAACATCTGCTCTGGCGAGTACCTGAGCTCACAAAGCAATCACAACAACACCACAATCACCAACGATTCCCACGTTATTATAAACCAATTTCCAGAGCAACCATAAGGCAGCTCTCGATTAACCGCATACCCCATCACGCGCCTCTCCTCGTAGACCTTGGAGAGAACGCCCCCCTCCTCCCCGTCGCCGCACCCGAGGAAACACCTGGTCTGCGTGCGCGCCATCCGCCCCGCGCCAATCACGCCGGTCTGCGGATATGCCCACCGGCTGCCGCGCTCGAGCACGCGCCCGCCGCCGCCGAGCGCGGCCAGCGTGCTCGAACACCTGGCATTGGCGACCAGCTCCCCCGCGCCGGTGGAGCACTCGCCCTCCCCGCAGCACCTCCGCAGGACGGAAGACGCCAGCCCCCTCCTCCGCAGCACCGACCTCGCGCACGGCAGCATCGCGGAGGCTCCTCAGGGCGCGATCCGGCCGGCGGCGGCGGGAGAGGGGAACCCTAGATTCGGGCCGCGGCTAGGGGCGGTGCTGGCGTCGCCGGAGAAGGACCTGGAGCCTGGAGGGAGGGCCGGAGTGTGAGGAGGGATTGGAGAGGCGTGAGGAACTGGAGCTCTTGGTTTGCGGGGGGAGGCCGGATTTGGGGGCCGGGGGATGGACGGTACGGAACGCCGAGCCGCGAGGCGAGGGGAAGGCGTGGTGGGCTGCTGGCTTCGGTTGGTCCCTGGTGCCTACTAGGAACGAAGGATTTTGACGAGTCCCGCCGTCGCCGCTGGCTCGCCGTCCAGGCTGTGCGCGGTGCGCCTTGTGCCGCTGCGCTACGCGCCTGCGCCGACGCGGCTACGCGTGGTGTTATCGCCGGATTGGTTACGCACTTGCGCGGTGCACGAGGATCATGCCCGTGCCCATGAGCCCATCACCCGCTGCGTTTCTGGCCGAACTGACCAAGCGACACGTCTGGTTGCCGAATTTGACCTTTACTCGAGAATCCAGAGTCTATCAGCCTGTTCGCTTTTGTTGGTTTCAACCAAATTTCAAACCAAATAATGACGAAAGATTTTCTCTCACAATAAACCAAAGACCAAAGGTCAAACCAAAATTTTAAAACAAACCAAATGTAATGTACCCTATATAAACCGACCATGAGAATTATTTTTTCTTTATTTCTAGAAGCTATGTGATTGCAGGTTTCCTATTTTATCTACCCTAATAATTTACCAACTTTTTCTTTTCTACGGGGATGTTTGGCACGGCTCCTCTCATCCAGAGGAGCCGGAGCCGTTTCGAATGATCCATAATTTTGTGGGTCCTCCGAAACGGCTCTGTTTATCTGTTTTTTTATCAAAAAATGGCTCCTTCAGTAAAACGTTTGGCAGGGCTCCTCTGCAGGAGCCATAACTAGAGCCGTGGAGGAGCCCGGTCAAACAAACCCTATATCCACATAAAAAAAATGTCCCTCCCTCCATCTGCCTCAAAAAGTATATACGCAGAAAAATCACGCATTACAAACAAACGGTCCCGATTCTATTCTAAGCCTTCTCTCCTTATACTCACTCAAATTGAATGGCCAAGACCCTTGTGTATCGTCCTCCTCATCCTCCCCGCGCCCAACACAACACAAGGTAGTCGTACTCATCACTCACACGCGCTGATTGGCGTGATTGACGTCTTGAGACTCCGCCCTGTTGCTGCCGCCGCCGCCCCTCGCTCCTCGCCGCGATCGATCCGCATACTCGCTCACCCTCGCCGCCATCGCCACGCACTAGAGATCAAGATGGCCACCGAGCGGGTGCGCCGCTCCCTGACGCTCGCCGTCGCTCCCTGCTGCCATCGCCATGCACTGGAGATCAAGACATTCGCCGAGCGGCTGCGCCGCTCCCTGTCGCTCGCCGTCCCTCCCCCGCCACGATCGACACGCCTGTCGCTGCCGGGCAAGGCGACGCCGCGGCAGAGGTGTCGCAGGGCGGGG